GTCACCCTGTACGACGCGGAAGGACAAGACGCTGCCGACTAGCTGCGCGCTGAAGGACACGCCGTTCAGCCGCATGTCGACCGAAATGCACCACTGACTGCTCAGCGTGGTGCTGTGCGCCAGAGGGATCGTCACGGACGGAGCGAGCATCGTCATGGTGCCCGTCATGACCCGGTCCATCGTGGCGACGCCGTTGGAGACGGTGTAGGTCGTTCGGTAGAACGAGCCGTCGGGGGCCGCGATGATGAGCGCCCAGGTGCCGTTGGTCCCCGGCAGGGGCGACTTGGACAGCCCGTTGACGATGTCGATCGGCGCCGACCAGTCGCCGACGCCGGGGCTGCGGACGTAGACCTTGCCCAGGCCGCCCGGCAGGAGCCCGGTCGAGAACCGCAGCGTCGTCCCGGCCGCGCTGCTGCTCGCAACGGTGACCTCCGCCGCGCCGGTGTGCACAGGTCCTTCGACCCAGGTCCGCTCCATCGAGGGAGAGCCGTAGCCCGCGGGGAACAGCGCGCTGGCAGACCCACCCCTGACGGGCGTCGCGTAGAAGGAGCCGCCCGTGCCGGTGATCTGGGTCGGCAGGTTCTTCAAGGGATCTGGCGGCGCCACGGTGATCGCACCGTAGAGGTCGGTCAGTTGCTTGATGAACGCTGCGGACAGCGTCGTCTGATCCTTGAGGTAGCTGACCTTGATGTCTGCCGTCTTGGTCAGCAGGTTGCGTTTGTTGTAGGCGCTGAAGGTATGGATCAGCGTGGCGTCCACGGCGGCAGCATCCAGGGCTACGGCGCGCAGGTCAGTGCCTGCGCTGGAGATCTGTCGGGTGGCGTTGCCGTTGCGGTCGTAGGTGTAGTAGCGCGTGACCCCACCCGCCCGAGGCGGTCGAAGTCGTATTCGCTGATGCGCGCGTCGGCAAGACTCAGGGTCTGTCGGATGCGGTCAGGGTCGCCGAGCGCGCTGTAAGGCTGGCCCGCATCGTTCTGACGACCGTACTGGGCGGTCGTCAGCGCGCTGGCGTAGCGTGTCTGGGTCGTGGCTGCCGAGTGGTGCCGACCGTAGGCCCAGGCGGTTGCGAAGCCCTCCTGGTCGACGCTCAGGACCTGGCGGCCCAACTTGTCGTAGTACCGGAAGACCGAATTCCCGCGGGCATCGATGTCCTGGATGACGTTGCCGCCGGCGTCATAGACCAGGCTGCGCACCTTGACCTTGTCGGGCGCCGAAAGTGCCGTGGTGAAGTTGCTGTCGTCACTCCCGCTCGATTCCCAGTACCGCAGCCCGACCCGTTGCACCTCGATCAGGCGGCCCAGCGCGTCGTAGACGCGCAGGGCCGTGCGGTCCTTGAGGGCCGTGGGCGTGACGGCGGGCGGATTGCCGCCCGCGGCTGCGGTGCGGACATCCACCGGCTGCGCGAGTGCGGTCTCAACGATCGCGTTGCCGACGGCGTCCCGCGTGTAGATGGTGCATGCGCCGTCCGCGGCGATCCGGGACACGACCTCACCTCGGAGGTTGTAGTAGGTCAGGCTGCGGCTGCCCGTGCCCGCCGTCAGGCGGCCGCTGTCGGTCCAGTGACCCCGGCGCACCACTTCGATCACCCGACCCAGGGCGTCGTAACGGGTGTAGTCGACCGGGCGATAGGCGAGGCTGCTGCCGTCGGCATTGACCGCCGTGTACTCGGTTCCGATGCGGTAGACGAGGCGGTCGGCCGCGTCGTAGGCCATGTCGGTCACACGCTGTTCCGGCAGCCCCACCGCCTCCACGCTCGTGAGACGGTTGCCGCGGCTGTCGTAGGTATAGGCGTTGGTCACGAGTCGCGGGTTGCCCTTGGCATCCTTCGCCACCGCCCCTTCGGCGTTGGTCGAAGTGACCGGGAGCGTTTCCTGCGTCACTCGGCCCAGCCTGTCATAGCTGTAGCGGGTGACGCCACCGAGCTTGTTGAGGGCTGCGTCACGCTCGCCGAAGGCATTCAGCGGACCCGACGCGCCTTCGACGTAAGTCTCCGCGTCCGCATTGGCCCAAACCTTGTGTGTCAGGAGCCGGTTGGCCTTGTCGAAGGTGTTCGAGGACAGGCTGTCGAGTGCTTCGTTGGGCGTGTAGGCGACCGGCGAGCCTGCCGTGACCGTCGCCACCTTGGCATCGACCCGGCGCACCGTCTCCACATTGCCGAAGGCATCGAGCCCGTAGGCGGTGAGGTAACCCTCCGCGTCGATGGCCTGGATCAGGCGGTTGGCCTTGTCGAAGACCTGGTAACTCTTGCTGCCGCGCGGGTCGGTGAACGTGATCGCGTTGCCGAAGGCGTCGTACGCCGTGGTGGACACGACCGGGTTGCCGGTGTCCAGCATGCGCCGGGTCTCTGTGGTGCGACCCATCAGGTCGTACTGGTACGTCGTGGAGTAAACGTACGTGAGCGTCAGCTTGGCGCCGTCCGACAAGTCCTTGAGCAGCGGCGCATAGCCCAGTCGCTTGCGCTCAGCCTGCTCCCACGCACCATCGCCCGTCGACAAGGGCACGGCCCGCGGATCGATCAGGCGCTGGAGGTTGCCGCGCGCGTCGTACTCATAGCGCGTGGTTGCGGCGAGCGCGGCGCTGTTGCTCGCCACCGTCATGCTTGAACGCTGGCCGGCGCCGTTGTAGGTGTAGGACGTCGTCGTCTCCACGCCCTGCACGTCCTTGGCGCGAGTGATCGACTGGATCCGGCCGGCCTCGTCGTAGGCCGTGACCGTCTGGACGCCCATGCCGTCGGACTCGACGCTCAACCGCCCCGCGCGATCCAGCCGTCGGCCGTAGGTCACGGCGCCGGTGCGATCCAACGCGGCCACGTCACTGGCCTTCGGTGGGCCATCGCCCGTCAGCCGGGCGGCGTAGCGGCGGGTGGTGGTGGTGCCCGTGGCGTCGTCATGGACGGTCTCCGTGACATACCGCTCGGCATCCACGTGGTACTGCTCACGACCTGCGCGGTCGTAGAGGAAGTAGTCGATGCGATCCTTTTCGGGATTCGGTGTGACGACAGGGTCGCTGTCGTCTGCCAGGGGCCCTGTGATGCGGTTGGCGAAGCGGGTCTGCTGGGTGAGGTGGCCGTTGCGGTCGTAATCGAACAGGGTGACCGCGCCCGTGGCGTCGATGCTGGCCCGGATGCGGCCGAGCGCGTCATGGCGCGCGTAGCTGTGCTGGTCCGCCGCTTGGGTGCTAGAGGCGAGCGCTAGAGCCTGGCCGGCGAGCGTGCTGACCGTCGAGGCTGTCGGGCCGGCCAGGCGTGTGGCGTAGCGCACCATCTCGATGACGCGGCCGGCCTTGTCGTAGCGGCGCTGGCTCACTTCGCCCATGGCATTGATGGCGAACGTCGGGCGCCCATCCTTGTCGAACAGCTGCGCGTTGACGGACTCGCTGCCGGTCAGCAGCGTGCCGATGGCGGTGCGCAGGCTTTCGTCCGACACCGTCGACAGGTCGACCGCCAGGCGGACCGGTGCGGCCAGCGTGGCGGTGCGACGACCTTCCGCGTCGTAGAGGTGGCGTGTGGCGGCGCCGGTGCCGTCGATGCTGTCGACCAGACGGCCGGCGTCGTCGTAGCGATAGCGCCAGACCAATTCGTCCAGCGCGTTGCGGACGACCAGCACGTGACCGGCGGTGTCGTACTCGAAGCGGGTCCTGAGCCGAACGCCATCCGGGTCCACGGTCTGCAGCAGGCGACGCCCGAGCTCGTCGTACTGGTACTCCGTCTTGACCGCGGCGCTCGTGCCGTCGCCTTCGATGACCGTGAGCAGCCGGCTCTGGGCATCGTAGGTGTAGCTGGTCTTGAGCTTCAGCCGCTGCGCCGCCATGTCGGGCGTGTCGGCAGCATCGACCGGGTCGATGACGATCTCTTGCAGTTCGCCCTTGGCGTTGAAGGTTTGCCGAGTGACAGTGCCGCGCGGGTCGACCACCCGGACCTGCCGACCTTGGCCGTCGTACCGGTAGGTCGTCACCTGCTGCTGTGGCCCCGGATTCACGGTCTGCGTGAGCATCCGGTTGGCCGCGTCATAGGTGTAGGTCGTGGTCAGCGCACTGCCGTCATCGGTAGGTGAGGCGCCCGCATTGGCCTTCAGGCCGCGCACGACCTGGACGAGGTTGTTGTTGAGGTCGTAGTCGTTGGCGGTGACGCTGCCGAGGGCATCGGTGACGGTTTTCAGGTTGCCGCGGCTGTCATAGGCGTAGGTTGTGGCGCCGCCGGCGCCGTCCACGCTGACGCTGCGGACCTGCCCATGGCGGTTGTATTTCGTGATCGTGCGCACGCCTTCCGCGGTCGTGGTCGTCAGCGCCCGGTTGGCGGTGTCGTACTCGAACGTCACCGAGTTGTTCAGGCGGTCGATGCGCTGAACGACGCGCTCGAAGGCGTCATAGACCGTGGTCGTCGTGCCCGCGGGGTCCGTGATGCTGACCTTGCGGCCTTGACCAGCGTCGCGGATGTAGCCGTAGCTCGTGCGCTGATTTCGCGCGTCGATACTTGCGGAGAGGCGACCGAACGCGTCGTACTCGGCACGGGTTTGCATGCCCTGCACGCCGCTGGCATTGGCAGCGGTGTTGCTGACCTGGTAGCCGCGCCGGTCATAGCCGAGGCTCGTGATCAAGCGGCGCGCACTGGACAGCGAGGCATCGACCTCGGCGGTCGTGGTTTCGAGTTGACCGAATGCGTTGTAGAGGTAGCTTGTCTTGTGGCCCAGCGCGTCGATGGCCTGCTGGACCTGGCCTCGCCGATTGAAGATGAGGTCTGTCCGGCCGGTTCGATCATCGGCGTTGTAGAGGGCCTGAACACTGGCTTGCAAACCGGCGGCATCGGCGACGCGTCCTCCGGTCAGGCTCGCAGCGAAGCTCGCGCTGAGGCGATTGCTGTGTGTGATGCTGGCAGACGTCTCGCTGAACGGGCTGTAGACCGTCTCGGTGACTTCACCACCCGCGTCGGTCGGGCGGATGGTGAAGGTGAGCCGCCCCGCGTCGTCGTAGTAGTAGACGGTGGTGTGGTCGCGTGCGTCCTTCGTGCTGATGAGGCGACCGGCGTCGTCATACAGGTAAGTAGCGACGACACGGTCCTCGTTGTCGTATCGCTTCCAGACCCGGCCGTATCCGTCGAACTCGACGCGGTCGGCGCGGGCGTCCTGGTCGTAGGCGCGAATGGTGGTCGTCAGGCGCTGCAGCCTGTCGTAGACGTATTTGGTGACGGTGCCATCGGCAGCGGTTTCGGTCTCGAGCAGCCCGCGTGCTTCATACGTGCGCCGGGTGATCTGCGGTGCGCCGAGCGTGGCGCGATTCAGAAGGTTCAGGCGTGCCAGGTCGTAGGAGTCGGTGAGGAAGGTCTGGCTTGCGCCTTGCCACACCACGCGGCGGCCGAGCGACGTCGGGTAGCGCAAGGTGTCGGTCAGCCGCCCGCTGCTGTCGTAGCCGTACTCCGTCAGGTGGCCCTCCGCGTCGATCTCGGCGATCAAGCGCCCCTGGCGGTCGTAGATCCAGCTGACGAGTTCGTCGTCGCCCGACGCGGCGAGCGTGGGTGCAGCGCTGTCCCGATTTCCCGCGGGAATGGCCGTGGCGTAGCGACGCTGCTCGGTCTTGCGGCCGGCCTTGTCATAGGACCAGGTCGTGGCATAGCCCTCCCCGTCGATCGACAGGCTCAGGCGCCCCGGCACGCTGTAGACGTTGCGCGAGATCCGGTCACGCGCGCCATCGCTGGCCGGCGGCACATAGGCCGCAAGGGTGGTGACAATGCCCGTCGTGCCGCCGTTCCATCGGCTGACGGCAAGGGCCGTGGCGTAGGCGGTTCGCCGCACCACATCGTTGGTGCCGTTGTAGGAGAACTCGACGACCGAGCCCTCTGCATCCTGCGTGGCCTGCACCCGGCCCGCTGCGTCGTAGTACGTCGTCTGGATGCGATCACGTGCGGTATCGGCCGTTGGTCGAATGTCTGACAGACCTTGCGAGCTCAGTCCGCCGTTGGCGTCCAGCAGTCCTGCCAGCGTCGCGGCGCTCAGCCGGGTTGCGTAGCGGATCTCCTGGACGACCCGGCCGGCCGCATCACGCAGGTACTCGATCAGCTGCCCGGCGGCGTCGACTTCGGCCTGCAGCCGCCCGGCGTCATCGTAGAAATTCCAGCTGCGGCGCCCCGTCGGGTCCTGTGTCGTGCGCAAGCGCCCATCGGCGTCGTAGATGTAGCGCGTCGCGCCCAGGCCGGCGCCGGCCGGGTCGTAGCTGGTGCTGGTGATCAGCCGACCGTCGAGCCCGTACAGCTGGACCGTCATCTGGCCGTTGTCCAGCGTGATGCTCGTCTTGCGCCCGGAATCAGCGTACGTGTAGGTCGTGGTCGCCTGATTGACGTCTTTGACGCTGAGCAGTCGGTTCAGGCCATCGTAGGCGTACGTGGTCTGAACGCCCGCGTCGTTGCTCGTGCTGATCAACCGGCCGAAGGCGTCGTACGTGACGTACTGGTGACTCGGCTGGGTGAACGTCACGCTCCCCGAACCCAGCTCGGCCTTCCCGAAGGACGTGGTCGACTTGAGTTGCCCGTGCACGTCATAGCCGTACTCGGTGCGCTCCACGTGCGGGCTGGCAGCGTCCAGCCCGTCGGCCCACGCCTCCAGGTCGGCGAAGGCGCAGGTGCCCGCGAAGCCCTCGGACATGTAGGTCGTGCGGCTCGAGACCAGCCCGGAAGCGGTGTACTTCAGCCTTGTCGTGACACCGTCCGGTTGCACCACATAGGCCAGGCGGCGATGTCCGCCGCGGGTGTCGTAGACGTAGCGGGTGCTGACGCCGGCGCTGGGCTGCTGCGGGCCGCTCCAGCCATCCGGGTCCGCTGTCATGTACCTCGTCTCCGAGGTCATCAAGCCGCCGGCGTAGCCCCACGCGACGACGTTGCCTGCCGGGTCGGTCCGGCGGATCAATGCGCCGTTGGTGTCGTAGTCGAAGCAGGTCGCCTGATTCTGCGGGTCGATGCTCTTCAGCAGGTCGCCCGTCACGGCGTCGTACTCGAACCGCTGCACGAGCGCCGTGCCGCCGGTGGCCGCGCCGCTGATCTGCTTCAGCCGATTGGCGTTGTCGTAGACCAGGTAGGTCTTCAACATCAGCGGGTCGGTGATCGTGGTGGTGCGTGTGGCCGGGTTGTAGTCGAGAACGGTTTCACCCCGCGCATCGATGAACTTGCTCACCCGCCCGGTGCTGTCGTCATAGCGGATGCTTTGTGCGCTGCCGTCTGCCTGCGTGATGCTGTTGAGTCGCCCGGCGCTGTCGTAGGCATAGCTGGTCCAGTAGGTCGAGCTGTCGTCCGTTCGATCGGGCGTGAGGTCGGTCGTGACCTTGCTCAGTCGGTTGCCCTGGTACTCGTAGGTGGTCAGCGTCCGGGTGCGGTTCAACCCGGCGTCGGTGTAGTGGGTCTCGAGTTGGTGGATGCGGGAAGAACCCGGCTCGTAGGTCAGGTCGATCCATTCATCGCCCATGGCGATCCGGTTGATCAGCGAACCGCTGTAGGAGATGGTGGTGGTGTGGCCTTCCGTGTCCCGAATCTCTCGCAGCAGGAAGTTCCCATCGTTGACCGCGGACTCCCGATAGGTCTCGGAAGAACCGGTCTCCCCATCCACCCAGGTCCAGGTCCGCGTCGTCGCGTCAAAGCTGACGACGTCGTATTGCCCTGCGCCGTCGGTGCTGCGGTACTGCCCGTTGCCGACGGCCGCGTAGGCCGACTCGCCGCCGTCGCTCTCGATGCGCTTGACGACATTGGCTGCCGCGTCGAACTGCACGCGGCGGTAGTAGCCGATGCGCCAGCCGTCGCCGTTGTCGCCGTCCCAGGCGGCCAGGCTGTTGTACGTTCGAAGCACGTCGAGGTTCTGGCCTGGGCCCACCAGGTACTCGTCCCGGTCTTGAATGACCAGATTGCCGTTGGCCGCGTTGATCGTGACGCGCTCGCCGTTGCGCCCGTACTGGGCCCGCCCCAGTTCTCCGGCAGCACCGAGCAGGTCGCGCGACGTGTTGAACAGCCCTGTGCCGTGGCCGCTGACGATGGACACCATGTTTTCTCCCTGGAGCGGATGGACGCTTCAGTGAGTGGTTTTCCGGGTCCGCACGCCGCGGTTTAGGGTGCGAAACGATTTGTTACATTTCGCACCCGTTGCCGCATGCAGCGGCAAGATGCACTGGCGCGACCCCCGGGGTTGCCCTGGCGAGGGAGGTTTCGGCCGGCGAGGGGGCTTCGACCCTGCGGTGCTTGCCGCCAGCGATCAGCGCCGCCCGCCCGCCCTCAGTTCGGCAACTCCACATCCGGCGGGATGTACCGCCCCTTGTACATCTCCGCCAGCATCGACTGCCGCTCGTAGACGAGCGTGCGCAGACGCGCGTCGATGACGGAGGCCTCGACCTGGTCGGCGTCGGGCCCGCGGGACTGGCGCAGGCCGGAGCGCAGGCGGTCGATGGCGCCGTTCAAGTCGCCGGCGGCGGCGTGGACCTCGGCTTGCGCGCGGACTGCGCGCAGGGGCTGTTCCAGGCGTTGCCAGACGAGCGCGAGCTGGGACCAGGCGTAGGAGTCCTTGGGCTCGAGGCTGACGTGCGTCT